TCTCTGTCTGTCTCTGTCTCTCTGTCTCTCTGTCTCTCTGTCTGTCTGTCTGTCTGTCCGTCCGTCTGTCTGTCTGTCTGTCTGTCTGTCTGTCTGTCTGTAGGTATGTATGTATGTATGTATGCATATGCATGCACACATGTAGCGTATGACTTGTGTATGCATGCAGGCATGGATGGATCTGTGGCAAGCTATGTATATGTACATGTACAAGGCACACACGTAGGCATATAAAGTAGATGCATATCTACGTCTCCATGTGTAGATATGCATATACACACATAAGCATGCATGCAGTATTTGTGGTTGCATGCCATCCATCCATACATAGATACATACATACGTCCGTGCATACATGCATACAGACACACATAGAGACAGATACATGCATACACACACACACGTATATATTCAAGCCGCCCCCAGCACATGAATTGCACGAGGAATTACACGAATTCCCAGCTAAACTGTGAAGATATGTCCCGACGTCTATCCTCACAGAATGATCATATTCCTGAAATTTGCTCTGCTTGGTGCGGTATCCACGAAGCAACCCCTAGCATCCATAGGGCTGCACGCTGGAATCACGTAGGCTAAAAAAAAACTGAAGAACAATTTCCTCCATCCCAGCAGGATACATAATGATCAGGTTTGCCGCGAGTTGCCTGAGATTTGAGATGGCTCTGGTGCGGCATCCCGAGCCTGCTGCAGCTATTCCAGCACGACCAATTGAAAATCCAGCCCTTGGGCAGTTTGGACACAGTGCTGGGCCGTTAGTACAGCTCTTTCTGTGCGGTTTTGTTGAGGCTCCCTGCTGGCGGGGTAGACTCTGTCCGGATCTGGCAACTCTTGAGTAAGCTTCAATTCTCGCCACTGCCTCACCTGAACTTTCTTTCAGTTTGAATACATTCTCCTTGTGCTCTTTTCTTGGAAATCGGAGCCAAGCTTGTGATACTTCTGGTCAAATTTTGTGCTCCTTTTCCAAAAAAGTTGTGCTTCTTTGTGTGCTACTTCTGGTGCAAAATGTTGTGCTCCTATTTGTGCTTCTGGTGCAAAACTTAGCACACTCACAATCAGATCTCGGTCAAAAAACTTTTGAACTCAGGCAGTTCCTCTGTCTAGAAGTCTACCTTGGCCGGCCTTGGCTCTGTTGAGGTGGTCAGGTGGCTCGGGTGGTGGGTGGGTGGGTGGGTGGGGTGCTCGGGGGGTGGGGTGGTTGGGGGTTGGTTCTGCGGTTGTGTTGGGGGTGGGGTTGGGGGTGGGATCGTTTGGGGGGCTGGTTCGGGTGCTGGGTGGGGTGGTTCGGGTGGTTGGTGGTGGCGGATGCTTGGGGGGGTGGAGACCCCGTTTGGCAAGGCCAAATCACTCATTGTTCTGGTGCAATTTATGTTTGGGCTGTTTATATAAGAACCCTTTAGTTGACTGTTGGTATGCCGGGGGCGGGTTGAATGTATGTATATGTATGTGTATGTATGTATATATATATATAATACACACACACACATACGACCTGAGTATTTCCACCCGCACGCATGTACGTACGCATGCAGGCATGCGCACATATGTAAACGGATGGGCATGCAGTCAGATGATATGTTTGTATTCAAGCATGCAGGCATTCAAAACATGCGCGTGCGTATATCCTGTATGTATGTCTGTGTTTGTGTTTGTAATTCAGTAGCAGGAAACGGAACTTGGCTTTTAGTTCAAGCCTGAAGCTGCGCAACAGTACAATAACTCGACAGGCCCTAATTAACCCCAATGAATATAGCCTCAACAGCTAATGATTAAGGGTTTGGTTGTTTCGATTTTCCGGCCTGCTCTAGGACAGAGGGGCCGGCACGGCCCTGACAAGCCAATTGAAAAATGCAAGGGCTGTTATCTCCCACGCACAATCAGTCGCGTTTCGAGAAGGCGTCCTCTGCATCGGCTTAGCCGCTGCCTGCATGAGGAAAATCGCGGAGTCATCGTCCCAATCCAGGGAATGACAGGTGCCTCAGCAACGCATCGCGTCCAAGGCTGCGAATGAGTTCAGAAGTTGACCTTTCGCAAAGCTAGGCTATGAAGTACAAGTACAATATTCAGAACGTGGCTTTATATTTACGAGTGTTTCACAGGGCGAGTATTGCTCGACAGACATCTACACATTCTTCGTTTGTGTCTGGAAAAGTGCATGAAAAATCCGCTGTGTCGGGAGTTTCGTGTCTGCCCAGCAACCCTCCGGAGAGCAAAGCTTGTCGCTGCTGACTGTGATCACCTGAGACAAAAGAATAATGGACTTAGCCAGATGTCTGCAATGGACGGCAAGCCGAGCATACACAGATGCATATCTTGTGAGATGCCATGCCTTTTTTTACACACAGATGGTAAAATCACTGCATCGAAGAAGACTTACGCCTCAATGTCTAAATCCTAGTTCCGACAATCACAATGGTTCCTATGACCTGCCTGGAGAGTCAGCAGGCACCATGGTAGACGCATTGCTGCGAGGCAGCGTCACCTGTGTCGATAATTTTCTGTGGACTTCTGGGGGCCACCCACCCGCTTGGAAACCGAACACGCCCGAAAACCAGGTCCTTCCACGTGGCAGCTGCGGGGCTTCGAGCTCGGGAAAGGAAAGATTCGGTTATCGAATAAATGGAATCGGAAGGCTCCTTGCACTCAGGCAAGTTCGAGCCACATCTGCGGCTGGGCTCACGATTTGGTGGTGCAGGCAAGCTCCCTAGGCTCTAGACCCACAAAATTCTCGAAGTAGAGCACAAGGAAGCTGTGGATCCAAACATCTGAAGTGCAACTCCCAGGCAGGTGCCAAAGGTAATCTCGTCTGAGTCGACCATCTCGTCCAGCCTCACCATCGGCGGGTCGCACAACCAAGCTGCTTGCAAGAGATCCTGTGCCAAATGCGTCAAAGGTGACGCGAGCAAGGAAGCTCCACAGAAAAAAGAGTTCGCCTGCTTGACTTACACGTCCGCTAAGCGAAAATGCCGCCAAGCCGCTGCAGCCAGCTCTCCCCCGAAAAAACTGCAAGGCCTCCAGTCACGGATCTTCGACCACCCTTCACGCACCTAACTCTCGCCTGTCGACTCTCGAAGCTCGGATGCTTCACGAATGCCCTTGCGATTGAGGCATCCTGCCGCCGGTGGCTCCTTTCAAGTTGAACAAAGTTGAACAAAGCGCGTCGCGTGTTTATGGTACGGACGGGCTTAGCAATTGCAACAGCCTCGAATGATGACTGGTGCTACACCCTGGACAGAACCTGTGGGATACGAGCAGGTACTAAACAAATGTAGGAGTTTGGATAGGTATAAGCTGCTTCAGAATCCTTCTTCAAAATCTTTCGGATGAGTGCTTGGAAGACTACTCTGCGGTCTAGCGATCTGGTTTAATCTAGAGTCTGCTCAGGGCGAAAAGTCTTCAACCCGCGCACCAAAGAGGACAGCCCACCATAAGCCTCTACAGTACTCTGCAGCTTCTCCGCCAGACAGGGGGCATGAGGTAGCAGCTATGGCACATTTATCTCAGAACTTGAAGCGGACATGATGTCCATGTTCGTGGCGGACCTCTGGACCAGCGCCCCGCCAGACACCAGGTTAGGTGTGATGAAAGCTTGAGGTCCAGACCTCCCTTGGCACAAGCTGGCCCCAAAACAGATGCTGCCGCCGCCTCAAAGGAGGGTGCACGTCAGCTGGCGTGTCTGGGCGAGGCATGGTCGTTGCGGTCGGGTTGTGGGTGATACTTACGAGACTGCAATCAAAGGGCGGGGAACCCAAGACATCCAAAGACGAAATGCAGGGCTTGGATCAGAATGCAACTGGCATGCAGGAATAACTTGCATAACTCCTGTAACATCGGTGCGGCTGTAGTATCCTTGTTCGGCTCTTCTGGATCTTGCGGTCCGGACTCGCTCTCTCACAGCTGGGGAACCCCAGCTTTACTTGCACTACAACTGGGCTCCGAGGACCAGAGTCTCTGAGTGAACACAAAACTGAACCCTCACCGCGGAGGAGCACTTTGCTTGCTGCTTCTCTTCGCACTTCCTGCCCCAAGGACGACGACGACAGATGACTCTGGAGTAGCAGAGGCAGCAGCACCAGCAGCCCAGTAGCAGCACGAGATGCAAAGAATCAGTCTCCCTCTGTTGGTATTCATCTCCTGCTGTCGTCGCCACGGGATTGTTCAGGCCTTTGCCGGTAGTATTCTTCCGTATTTACAGTGAAACCATTGCCGCTCTGATGACGGGAGCCTGCCGTGACCGTGAGCGCAGCGCGTCGAGCTGCTCTCGATCCGAAAGCCTCGTGTTCTTGGGATGCTGTCAGCTCTCCTCATTGACTCCTCATCTAAGACTTGTTCTGACTGTTCTCAACAAACACAGAGCTTTACCAACCGCTTGTTGAAATGGGATCCTGCGAAGTGCTTTGGCAAGCACACGGTCTCTTACCAAAACAATGCCACAAGGGTTGACGACTGATGACGATTCTTCTTGCCTGACATAGGGTGCAGCCGACAGGAAGAGCGGTCTCAGTTGATCCGATTTTTTGCAGGTAGCCTGATAGCCTTCGCGATTAGGGGTTTAGCCCAACAAGATAAAGGGCACCTGGTCTACCTCGGTAGAGGCAGCATTCAGGAGCTTTATGTCAAAGCCTAAACGGCCCTAA